TCTGTTGGAATCCGGAGTCTCATCTTTATCTTTAAAATCGATTCTTGAAAATAAGGAATATGAAGCAACAAAGGTTGTTATAAGTTTTTTTACTCCACACTGGTCTTTATTTGAGGATTTAATCTATGAGATGGAGTTCTTCAGATGAACTGAGGAGGGCAGCAATACGCCTTTGAAGCGTCTGAGCTGCCGCAAATCACACAAGAAGAAGAAGAAGAAGAATAGCTGAGAGGCGATGGGACTTTTATTATGAAGTTTTAGTGAGGATGACGCACTATTGACGCGCGCTTCATGTTTGTACATAACGTTATATGAGCGTCGAGTAGTTTTACTAGGGGAGAATTATTCTTTACAGTTTAAGTAAGATTTACATAAATCTTTGTGATATTTGCAACCAACCATTCAAAGCGACGACTTTGATTTATTGTGTAACAAGTGTAAATCTAGTTTGCAAAGTCCCTAAGTGCGCTCTTTGTAAACATGCTGCTGCACAGGAAGATTTGAGTGGGACATTTAGAAAAGTGCGGTGATGCCGCAGGATCCAGCAGGCGTTTTTGTTTTGTTGGTGTGATAGAAGAGCTGCAATACTGAAGCCAATAGCAGCATGATGCATTAAAGGAAAGCTAATGCAAGTACACGTCTGCTCGGCACAGACAAACTAGAGATTTGGTTGCTATAAGTTTCTTTCCTGTTGCCAAACACTCATGTACTGTATTTTCTACTTCGTGGGCTAGAAGTGAGTTTAGATTTACATTTTATATTGAATATAGAAGGTTTTTAGATATTTGTTTATATATTTATTGTTTTTTTTACTACAGCATTACATTTGAATCGATGTGAAACGTTACAAGTAAATAGAAAGTAGGTACTGAATCAAAAGAAAAAAAATGCTTACCGTCTATTATGTAACCAAAAAAATGATAAATAAATAGAAATCCATTCTACATTTAATTGAATAATTGAGTACTGTATTTAAACTGAAATAAAGAGACTTTGTAAACCAACCTTTTTCTATGTAAGAAACACGTATAAGATTACATTTTTTAACATTTTAAATTCAAGCTGTAAATTCTGTGATTTGATGTAGATGAGACATCTTTTTAAAAGGAAAATGATCTAATTATAGTGGTTTCATTGACCGTTTTCACAGGAGAGAATACAACTTCACAGGAGAGAATAAAATAGACTTTGTTTTGTAATTACAAGAAATTCTTAGACCTGTGAAATATGCCCAGAATAATATTCATGCACTTTACACCACTGCGAATTAGTAAGGTCATATTGGCAAACTGTACAATGTTGTAACCCAGTAACCTGTAAAAAGTTGGGTTTTCAGGTCTCACCTCGTCTATCATGGAATCAAATGAGTTGCTTGTGAAGAGGGATAAAATCCAGAGGGAGATTTTGGCTCTAGAGAGTACTCTGGGTGCAGAAAGCAGAATCATAGACCTACTGTCATCTGACAGCAGCAGTGATGGTAAGTCGCTGTCTCCTAACTGTGAGAGAATTGCACTAATTCACCAGTGAGTGAATTAAGTGAATCGTTCTTTTATATCAAATTTATTCACAAAATTGTCTAAATGAATCAGAAGTGATCCAACATAACTGGAATGGTCATGGAAAAGTCTTGGAATTGCATTGGCCAAAAAGTGTAGGGGCCTTGTATTTGGCCTGTGCTCTGTGCCTTATATTAATGTCATAAATAACGTTTCCTTGACAGATGATGAATCTGATTACAGTGGACCTGAAGTTGAAGGAGTGGTAAGAATTTAGAAAACCGCATGGTTACTATAACACACCATAGAAATGAAATGTAATATTCTTCATGTAATGTTTTACTTTTATTTTTTTTAATTGCTTGTAATTGCCTCTAGGAGCGCGATGACTTGGAAGCAGAGCGTTTGCGGATACAGAGGGAGATTGAAGAGTTAGAGAATACACTTGGTGCTAATGCAGCACTGGTCGATGTATTGGATGGTAAATAATATCTTAGTATTCATAGCGATTATTGCATTTCATTATTGGGTCTGCTGTTTCAGCTATACAAATAATTTGTTTGTAAATTAATTTGTCTTTATTATTTGTGTGTGTATTTTTTTTGTAAAACAGAGAGGGAACGTGACACTGATTCTGTGAGTTTCCACATTGTTTCTTTGATACATGCTTGTGCTGACACTATTCTTTTGCATTTTCTCATTATTGTTTTAAATGCTTATAATGCAGTATTGTTCTGCTCTCATTAGAGTGATGAAGACAGTGATGATGATGAGTTGGATCTTCCTCAAAATGTGGAGACTTGCTTGCAAATGAATTTAGTCTATCAGGAGGTGTTGAAAGAGAAACTAGCTGAGCTGGAAAAACTCCTCAATGAGAATCAACAGCAGCAGGTGAACAGCAAACATCAAGGCTGCAGTTCATTAAAACAGAGTCTTCATGCCACTCGATTGCATGGGTTTAATTACAGTAGAACCATTTTAAAGCCAACTGTATCTCCACAGAAAGAGATTGAGGCCCAGATCTCTGGCCCAAGCACTTCTAGCTCCTCCGTACCAGGAATTCCCCCTCAGAAACTATTTCTTGGATACTTCATGAAGCCTTACTTCAAAGACAAACTCACTGGTCTGGTATGTTATGAAACTAATACTGGAAGTCTTTTTTATTTTATTTTATTTCTTTCCTGTGAAGTTTTATTAATTCTTTTGTTTGCTTCTAGGGCCCTCCAGCAAATGAAGAAACTAAAGCGAGACTGAGTCATGGTTCCAGAACTATTGATGAATTAAAAAGATGTATGTTTTATGGCAGCATGCGTGCTTGATATTACTTGTATCTAACTGATTTTTTAATAAAAATAAAATGCTGGTTAATTCTTTCAGGGGACGGTTGGCAGAAAATTTTGCTGACTGACGCAGTCGCCAAAGACACTATGAAACGGATGCTACAACCCAAACTATCCAAGTGAGTTCTGGAAAAAAGGAAAACCAAGCCTAAATATATGATTATTGTTGCCTTGTCTGTGCAATTTGGATAAAAAAAGTTGTGCATTTAGAAATGCAAGTTTGTTTTTTCTGTTAAATTGAAGTATATGTGTACTTTTGTAGATAAAGGCTGTTTTTATTACATTTTGAGAGCTTCCAATGGTGTGTGTTTTCTTAGGCTGGACTATCTGAGTGCCAAGATGTCTAGAGCTGATGATGAGGGAAAAGAAGAATTGAAAAAACAAAACGATTTAATCGAGAAAGAAATTGCAGAAATAAGGTAAAGGCATTTTAAGAACCTCGTCTAAGAGAACATGTCCTGTAAGATTGTACCTACACTACGGTTCAGAGGTTTGAGGTCAGAGATATTTTTTTGAAAGCAGTCTATGCAGTTATAATGTTACAAAAGATTTCTATTTCAAATAAATGCTTTCGTCAAAGGATGCAAAAAATGCATATTAAGCATCACAACTGTTTTCAACATTCATAATTATAAGAAATGTTTCTTAAGGACCATATCAGCATATTAGAATGATTTCTGAGGGATCATGTGACACTAAAGACTGGAGTAATAGCTGCTGAAAATTTAGCTTCGCCATTACTGGAATAAATTGGATTTTAAAATGTATTCAAATAGAGAACAGTTGTTTTAAATGATACTAATATTTCTCAATATTGCTGTTTTACTGTATTTTGATCAAATACTGTATAAGAAGCCTTGGGAGCATAAGAGACTTATTTTGAAAACAATCCAAAAAAAAAAAACTTAAAGAGCCCCAAACTTTTGAATGGTTGTGTGCAAAAAAAAAGTGTTATCAAACGTTGTAATATCGTCTTAGTGCCCTGAGAGACGATCAGCTGCTGGGTAATCGCCATGACGATCATGACTGGGAGAAAATATCAAATATTGACGTAAGTTATGTAGTTGTTTTATTAAGGTGCATCCAAATAAATCTTGTTCTGTCTTCTAACATCAGTTTTCCATTTCAAAAGAATGAAAGAACGTGTTTTTGGTTGATAGTTTGAAGGTTTGCGACAGGCTGAGGATTTGAAAAGGTTCTGGCAGAACTATTTGCACCCCTCCATTAACAAGTCAGTATGGAAACAGGATGAGATTGATGAACTGAAAAGAATTGTGGAAGAGTACAATTGCTGCCATTGGGACAAAATTGCAGAGGCTCTTGGGGTAAGGGTAGAGAAATTCATGCACATTCAAAACAGCAGCTAATGTTAACATGCTATTTAATAAGGTTTTCAATATGTTTAACAATGCAACATTCACCATATAATGCCTTTCACGTATAAATATACATATATATATTATGTGTGTGTGTGTGCCTTTTTTTTCCAGACAAATAGAACGGCGTTCATGTGCTTCCAGACTTACCAGCGCTACATTTCAAAGACCTTCAGAAGGAAAGAGTGGACAAAAGAGGAAGATGAGATCCTCAGAAAACTTGTTGAAAAAATGAAAATTGGCAACTTCATTCCTTACATACAGAGTGAGACAATTGGATCTTCTTAAGCACTTGTACTGAATGTTGCATATTTGTTTCTAAAACGGATCATTCTGACTCTGAAATCAGATTGGATAAGCCAAATTCAAAATAAAATAGTAGATATATGTAATATAGATTTTATTCTTATATATATATAAAAACAAAACAGTGAGGGAACAACAAGGGATTGTCCACACACAATGCATTCCTGCATCCATCTGCACTTTTCAAAAATCGTTTTTAACTATTTGGTTTAAATGTAAGAATATGTCCTTTATAACTGGTTTAATTTAAAGATTTCATTTTCTTCAATTGTGTTTTGGAAAATCACAGGGGCTAAATATTTGTATTATTTATTATCTCCATAGTGTCATACTTCATGGAGGGCCGTGATGGATCACAGCTGGCATATCGCTGGACATCCGTTTTGGATCCCTCTATAAAGAAAGGCCCCTGGTCCAAAGAGGAGGACCAGGTATGGAGCATAATTAATTGTGGATATTCTACTCTCTTTCAGTAAATGAGAAACTGATTTAATGCATTGTTTTTGCGATATTCCATATACCATATTCCGTCATGTTTTAAAATCTGTTGAAGTCACACATGCCTATGTTCACTAATTTGACTAACCGTTCTCATATCAGTTGTTGCGGAATGCTGTCGCAAAATATGGCACCAAAGAATGGGGGAAAATCAGATTGGAAGTCCCAGGCAGGACTGACGGTGCTTGTCGTGACAGGTACTGTACGACACATTTCTAAGTAATGTTTCAAAATAACATCCCTGAAATCTGGCTGGATTGACTAGTGCTTGATATGTATATGAATATTTTTGCATCTTAGGTATTTGGATTGTCTTCAGCAGAATGTGAAAAAGGGTCCTTGGAGCAAAGAGGAGGTGGAACTACTAAAAGAAAAGGTTGCAAAATTTGGTGTTGGTAAGTGATATCCCTCTTAAAAGGTTAAATCTTTGGAATTAACTATCACTACCTCAATAAATTAGCTTTAATAAGCCTTAAAATTGACAGAAACAATATCCGGTACCCATTTAAATATCCATTATCAACCAATACTGTTAACTGAGAAGGATCATGTGACACTGAAAACTGGTGTAATGGCTTCTGAAAATTCAGTTTTGCCATCACAGGAGTACATTTTAAATTTGTATTAAAAGCTTATTTTAAATCGTAAAAAATATTTTATAAAACTACTGTTCTACTGTATTTTTGATCAAATATGTACGGCCTTGGTGAGCATAAGAGACTTTAAAAACTTGGGAAAAAAAATCTTAGCAACCCTAAACTTTTAAATGGTAGTGTATTTAAATAACTAATGACCATTACATCAAGACCAGCTCATGATGTTACTTCATATAGGAGATGATTCATCATGACATTGAAACAATTTTTCATTGTTGTTATTGTTTTGTTTTTTACCATCTAACAAGCAAATCTAACAAAAGGTGTAGAACTGTTCCAACTGTTTGAAATGATACATGCAAAGTGTCTTTGCAAAAATTACACATTTTTAAACTAACAGATTTTAATTTTATTTTACTTTTGCTCTCAGCTCATAGTTTCATGGTTAGTGAAAATATTGTGAAGTGACATGCAGCTTTGACACCTCAAGACAATAAATAAATAACAATAAATAAATGAAATGCCATTGAAACATATCTTCATTTGTAATTAATATTTTTTTTATCAAATTTTAAAAATTTTATAAAATAAATAAATATTTAAACAAAAATTATTTACATTTTTGTTTAAATATTTCAATTTTTATTTTCAATTTCAGTTTTTTTGGGGGGCCATAGCCCTCAGTCAAGTTAGATTTTTGGCCCTTCATATTAAAACATGTGGGCACATCTGTTTTTCAGGCAAGTGGACTAAGATTGCCTCAGAGATCCCAAACCGGGTTGACTGCCAGTGCCTAAACAAGTGGAAATTACTAACACAAGCTGTAAGTTCATTCTTCAGTATGTCTTGCATCCTTCAAGAAGATTAAATATCATAAGTATACACATTTGGTTGTTGCTTCTGTTTTTCAGAGTAAGAGTAAAGCGTGTCATGGTAAAGGCAAAAAAAGACAAAGGAAGCCAACAACAGTGCCACGAAAAAGAAAAAGACAAAAAGCTTTGAAAACGATTAAAGAGAAGATACTCACCTCCAGCGAGGACGAAAAACATATAAAGTATATGGACAGTGATGTTGAATCAGATGTTCCCTTAGTCAAAGTTCGGAAAATACCACGAAAGGACTACGTACAGCCAGATATGAAGGCATGGATACCTGTAAATGCAAACACAGGGGTTCATTCTCTACAAACTGTCAGGACTGTGTGGGTCCATCCTCCCTCCAATGAGGAGGAGCTAGAGAAATCCACTCTAGAATCTGGCTCAGGCCGCATTCCATCAAAGAACAGCAAATGTCCAAAAGTCACGCTCGCTTTAGTGCGCAATACCATCCTGAACCGCTTTGGAAACGTGGAAAGAACTTATGTAGGTTTGAAGCCTACTGTCTTGCAGAGTCAGGTAAGATGTTTTCTTTTTCCTTTCTCTTTTTAGGTCAGATTAGTTTTCATTTAGTTTTATTTATATGTTCTGCAGTGCTTCTGTATAAAAGTGAATTTCATTTCATGCGTGCAGACTGACGATGAGAAGGCCATGCTCAAGGTGTCTGTGAGTGATATTAAACATTTCCTGCAGTGGAAGGGAGCATCTGTAGTTAAGAAGGTATGGTTAACACAAACGCATACACATTTATAGTAAATAAGGCCATTACATTATTACTATTTAAGTATAATAGAAAATAGTTGCCACTTTCTAATAAGCTAACAAGATTTAAAACTATAGCCTTATTCAGATTTAAGACTGTTAAGGCAGTATTGTTTTCATAATGTCATACTATTAAAAAGTAATAATATTTGGAAAATATATTAATTTAAATAAATAATACACTTACCTTATATTGATTGTATGATTTTGTCCTTTCAAAATGACCTAAAGGAGAAAATGACAAATCCAAAAAATATTAAGAAAAGAAGGTCGGTTCAGGACATGGCCAGCCTTAATAATGACCTCTTTAAAGCCATCACCCCATGGATTGGTAATGTGATCCTGCCTGCTCCAGTGAATGAAAACACATTTTGTGAAGGTACAGACCCTTGTTTCACTTCTGACAAAACACCTACATTTTTGTGGTACTGAATAGGGATGTAACGATTCACTCAACTCACGATTCGATTCGATTCACGATTTTTTTTAACAAAATGAGATTTAAGACAAATTATAAATTAAATGTGTCCTTTTATTATTGCTTGGACAAAATGCTGCACATTTCTTTGTCAAATTGAAATATAACACTATAATAATATACTAATATAGCACTTGCATATTATTGCTCTTTTGTTGGTTTTGATTGCTTCTGTTGTCCTCATTTGTAAGTCGCTTTGGACAAAAGCGTCTGCTAAATGACAAAATTTAAATATAATGTAAATGTAAATAACAAAACTAAATTGAAATTTTAAAACAAGCCCCAAATCAAATAAATAACACAAATAAAATAAAAGAAATCTCTTCATATAAACAAAATAAGGCTTTGTCTGTGCTCTTTCCTTTTAAAATTAGAGGCAACCACTGCATTTTAATCATGATCCAAACAAAGATGCTGCATACATGCAACATGAGCAGTTTTTAATCTAAATTAGATTGTATAATTTTGAAATTTGAAGCAAAAACAGAATGGTTTGACTTCAGTTTTGTGAAACTATACAAAAAAATATCTGCATGAAACAGAAACAGCAGACGAGCTGAACGAGACGCAGATTCACTCTCTGCCAGCAGGTAGCGCTTAAAGCGTTTCCTTGGTTTCAGCTGTAAACAAAGCAGCGCTGCACTTATGAACAGCAATGATACAGTGTTTCCTTGGTTACCGCTGTAAACAAAGCAGAGCTGCGCTTATGAACAGCAATGATACAGTGTTTCCTTGGTTACCGCTGTAAACAAAGCAGAGCTGCGCTTATGAACAGCAATGATACAGTGTTTCCTTGGTTACCGCTGTAAACAAAGCAGAGCTGCGCTTATGAACAGCAATGATACAGTGTTTCCTTGGTTACCGCTGTAAACAAAGCAGAGCTGCGCTTATGAACAGCAATGATACAGTGTTTCCTGGGTTACCGCTCTTATGAACAGCAATGATACAGTGTTTCCTGGGTTACCGCTCTTATGAACAGCAATGATACAGTGTTTCCTGGGTTACCGCTCTTATGAACAGCAATGATACAGTGTTTCCTGGGTTACCGCTTAAATTAAATGTGTCCTTTTATTATTGCTTGGACAAAATGCTGCACGTTTCTTTGTGAAATTGAAATATAACACTATAATAATATACTAATATAGCACTTGTAAATTATTGCTCTTTTGTTGGTTTTGTTTGCTTCTATTGTCCTCATTTGTTAGTCGCTTTGGATAAAAGCGTTTGCTAAATAACAAAATTTAAATTTAATGTAAATGTAAATAACAAAACTATTTTTTTTTATTTATTTTAAAACAAGCCCCAAATCAAATAAATAAGTAACACAAATAAAATCAATCTCTTCATATAAACAAACTAAGGCTTTGTCTGTGCTCTTTCCATTTAAAATTAGAGGCAACCACTGCATTTTAATCATGATCCAAACAAAGATGCTGCATACATGCAACATGAGCAGTTTTTAATCTAAATTAGATTGTATAATTTCGAAATTTGTAGCAAAAACAGAATGGTTTGACTTCAGTTTTGTGAAACTATACATAAAAAAGATCTGCATGAAAGCTGAGCTGAATGAGACGCAGATTCACTCTCTGCCAGCAGGTGGCGCTTAAAACGGTTCCTTGCTTTCCGCTGTAAACAAAGCAGCGCTGCACTTATGAACTTTAATATGCATTATACAGAGGCAAGAGGAAACGAAAATAATACCACGTCACATATTTGAATCGATTTCCAACCGCCTCGCGGTTAATCGTTACATCCCTAGTACTGAAGCAATATTTGAGCAGCCTCACATATCAGACAGTTAATTGCTGATAAATAAAGTTTTGCCCCTTCTTCCTGTTAAATATCTTGTTTCACTTCAAAATGTATCACATTATGGAAGGGTGGTTTCTGCGGGTCCTAAAAAGTCTTAATTCGTCCCTTCCACAATTTATAGCCTTAAAAAAGGTCTTACATCAGAGCAGAAAGTCATAAATTCATAGTCATCGCATTAAATGTTGCATGCATTGCCAAAATGAATATCTTCCTGTTTTTGTTTTCCAGTACAAATATCTAATATCCTTAAATGAGCATATATTTATTTGAGATGCCAATTTAAAAAATCTTGACAATTTTTACAAAATTGCTTACAAAACAAGAACAAATATCTGTCAAAATTATATATGAATATTTCCCTTTTAATGAAGTTACATTTATCTGTGCCCACTGACAGATTTTTGTTAATTGTTTAAAAATATATATATATATTACTGGAATAAAGTAAATGTATCTTCATTTAGGAATCTTTAGACATCTGCACTGGAAAACAAGACAAAAAGTTATTTCCATGCTAGTTCTAGTGGTTGATAGTTATTCAAGCCTTGAGTAATTATTATTATTTATTTTTTTATTGTAAAATGAATTAAAAATAATGGAGATCGGTTGGAAGCTGTATTTTGAAGTTCTGCTAATACAGCTCATTGTGAGTTCCCTAGATATTTATATTTAGAGAACTTATTGTAAGAATGATATACATTTAGAGAGCATTGTTTTACATATTGTGTAAGAGAGACACATTGTGTTTCCTTTAATCCTTAAAATTTCTTTACTAGGTCTTAAAAAAGTCTTAAATTGACCTTAATAAAGCCTGCAGAAACCCTGTGGAAGTAAAAATGAGTTGTAACTATAATTCACATTGACTTTAAGCAATAAGTGCAATTTAGTTTATAGTACTCTAGTGTGCAGATTCAACATGGACCTAATTATGAGTAAATAATTCAAGGCTTTTTTCGTCAGTAATTCATCAATAATCATTTTACAGGTGATATTGTTGGAATGAAAGCAGAAGACATCGCTCTTCCAAAAACATCAGTGTTTTCATTTTTCCTCAAAGTAAGCCTAATTATTTTGTCAACGATTATTATAAAATTGAAAAAAAAAACAAAGACAGCAGTGTTTCACATGGTTGTATTTTCTTAACACAGGCTTTTCAAATAGATGTCAACGGTTGCAGGAATGTCATTGAAATTCAGCAAATTATCAACATTAAGGTATTTATCAATCCAGCATCTTAAAGTTTATTAGCCTAGTTGTCATACTTTGTTACTGATGTGCATATGAATATGCAGTATTTTTTTTTAAAGAAATTACTGTATCTCGAAGATTAGTGTTCCCTCAGTATTGTCAGTTGTTCTCTCTTGTCTTGTCTTTTTTCAGAAGCCAATTGCTCAATCTAAACCAAGAACAGGTATGTCAGTTTATATTTATCCATTTACATTTTTTTTAATATAATAGCAAATAATGCACATATCCAAAGAGCTCCCGTTCTTTCTGCAGTAACATGCTTAATGTCAACGTTTCCTTCCTATGGTTATTTGGCTCCTCCTTAAAAAGCGTCAGTGATTCTTAAGGATGCAAAACAGAAAGCTGAGCACAAGAAACCTGCAGAACCTCCTCAACATCCACCTCCCCTGCAGCCGGTTCTTCTTAACCCTCTCCAACTGCCAGTCAGGCAAATGACAACCCCTACTTTGATTCAACCCAAAACTCTTGTCATTACACAGCCAAACAAGCAGAGGGCAGTGCAGCCTTTACTAATTAAGTCACCACCACAAGTTTTATCACAGATTCCTCTACCGCTAATACAGCCGACAGCACCTGCACAATCTGTCATGGCCTCAACCCCCAAATCACCAAGTACAGAGGACTCAAACAGCATCAGATCTGCAAAACGCATCCGCAAACCTACTGAGAAAGTCCAAGCCCTAATGGAAGAAGCTAAAGCTAAAGGTAGTAAAAAAGAGTCACAGAAACTAAATCAAGGTAAACAGAATGTTGTTTTTCCAACTATTACATTGCAGATGCAGGCAGTAAACTGGATTTTTACCCCCACCAAGTTGGTACAAGTAACTGGTCCACTTTCTGCTAATATCCCAAGCAACCAGACACTAATTGTGCCAAATAGTTCCCCCCTGAATAACAGTATTAGTCCATGCATCTCAACTAATCTATACCCAGCATCATTTGCACTGGATGTTGCTGCTTCCTCTGTTAGTCCTGCCCTTATCCATTCTTCAGTCTCAAATGCCTCCAGAGATACCCTAAAGACTTCCTCCTCTGTGAACATTAGCCCCAATGGCATCCAGATACCTCTTTCACCTACTTCTACCTTAGTACAGAGCAAAAGTGTGCTACATAGTGTTCAGATGTTATCCCCGACAACTATCAAAGTGGACCAGAAAGGTTCACATGTTGAAGCTACGAAGAACTCCTCAGACTTCTCTTCTGATGAATCCATTGTAAGGCAATATCAGACATCAACTGGTTCCAGAGTATCTCCTGCTGTTTTCAGTGTTCTTCCAGTTCCCTTGACTGTGCCACCTTTGGCTAGTTCACCAGTCGTATTGAAGCCAACAAATAATGTTGCAGTGGCAAAGTCTCCTGGTGTTACTGAAAATGGCTGCGTTCTTGTGAGAACTAATCAGATGCCAACTGTCATCCAACAGAAAAGTTTGCCTGACACAATATTGAGCCCCCTTTCTGCTTCTAGTAGACCAATTGCTCCTTCACCTCAGGTTGTAGCTCAGTGTCCTCAGATTGTGGCTTCATCACCTCAGATTGTGGCTTCATCATCTCAGATTGTGACTCCATCAGCTCACATTGGGGCTCCATCACCTCAGATTGTGGCTTCATTAACTCAGATTATGGCTCCATCACCTCGGATTATGGCTCCATCAACTCAGATTGTGGCTCCATCATTTCAGATTGTGGCTCCATCACCTCTAATTGCTGCTTCATCACCTCAGTTTGTGGCTCCATCAGTTCAGTTTGTGGCTCCATCACCTCAGATTGTGGCTCCATCACCTTGGATTGTGGCTCCATCACCTCAGTTTGTGGCTCCAACAACTCGGATTGTTGCTCCATCACCTTGGATTGTGGCTCCAACAACTCGGATTGTTGCTCCATCACCTTGGATTGTGGCTCCACCTCCTCAGATTGTGGCTTCATCACCTCAGATTGCAGCTCCACCACCTCAAATTGTGGCTCCATCAGAAGTACCTCAAATCATAACATCAAGTGAACCATTGATCCCTCTTCCTGATATTCCCTCTGATGTTGTTAGCTTTAATCCCCACTTGATATTCCCTGAGCAGTCATCTGAAGTAGATGACTGGATGAATGGAAAAGGTGGAATTCCACTACCTCATTTAGAGATGTCTTTGCCTTACCTTCCACCGTCTGCCGCCAGCATCGAAACACTGACTTCTTTGCTCAAAGTTAAACAATCACTGCTTGCAGCTGCAGTGAATATCCTGCCAGATGAATATCAAAATTACAGAGAGGAAGAAGATCAAGTAGCTGCCATCCGCAAAATGATTGCGTGTTCAGATGTTATCCCCGACAACTATCAAAGTGGACCAGAAAGGTTCACATGTTGAAGCTACGAAGAACTCCTCAGACTTCTCTTCTGATGAATCCATTGTAAGGCAATATCAGACATCAACTGGTTCCAGAGTATCTCCTGCTGTTTTCAGTGTTCTTCCAGTTCCCTTGACTGTGCCACCTTTGGCTAGTTCACCAGTCGTATTGAAGCCAACAAATAATGTTGCAGTGGCAAAGTCTCCTGGTGTTACTGAAAATGGCTGCGTTCTTGTGAGAACTAATCAGATGCCAACTGTCATCCAACAGAAAAGTTTGCCTGACACAATATTGAGCCCCCTTTCTGCTTCTAGTAGACCAATTGCTCCTTCACCTCAGGTTGTAGCTCAATGTCCTCAGATTGTGGCTTCATCACCTCAGATTGTGACTCCATCAGCTCGCATTGGGGCTCCATCACCTCAGATTGTGGCTTCATTAACTCAGATTATGGCTCCATCAACTCAGATTGTGGCTCCATCATTTCAGATTGTGGCTCCATCACCTCTAATTGCTGCTTCATCACCTCAGTTTGTGGCTCCATCAGTTCAGTTTGTGGCTCCATCACCTCAGATTGTGGCTCCATCAGCTCGGATTGTGGCTTTATCACCTCACATTATGGCTCCATCAACTCCGATTGGGGCTCCCTCCATCAGTTCAGATTGCAGCTCCATCAGCTCGGATAGCAGCTCCATTAGTTCAGATTGCAGCTCCATCACCTCAGATTATGGCTCCATCACTTCAGATTGTGGCTCCACCACCACGGACTGTGGCTCCACCACCTCATATTATGGCTCCATCACCTCAGATTGTTGCTCCATCACCTCAGATTATGGCTCCATCACCTCCAATTATGGCTCCATCACCTCAGATTGTGGCTCCATCAGATCGGATTGTGGCTCCACCACCTCAGATTTCGGCACCATCAGCTCGAATTGCAGCTCCATCAGTTCAGATTGTGGCTCCATCAGCTCGGGTTGTGGCTCCACCAGCTCAGATTGCGACTCCATCAGCTCGAATTGCAGCTCCATCAGCTCGAATTGCAGCTCCATCAGCTCGAATTGCAGCTCCATCAGTTCAGATTGTGGCCCCATCACTTCAGATTGTGGCTCCACTACCTCGGACTGTGGCTCCATCAGCTCGGATTGTGGCTCCATCAGAAATACCTCAAATCAGAACATTAAGTGAACCATTGCTCCCTATTCCTGACATTCCCTCTGATGTTGTTAGCTTTAATCCTCACTTGATATTCCCTGAGCAGTCACCTGAAGTAGATGACTGGATGAATGGAAAAGGTGGAATTCCACTACCTCATTTAGAGATGTCTTTGCCTTACCTTCCGCCATCTGCCGCCAGCATCAAAACATTGACTTCTTTGCTCAAAGTTAAACAATCTCTGCTTGCGACTGCAGTGAATATCCTGCCAGTTGAGTATCAAAACTATAGAGAGGAAGAAGCTCAAGTAGCTGCCATCCGCAAAATGATTAGATTGGGGCTCCATCACCTCAGATTGTGGCTCCATCACCTCGGATTATGGCTCTATCACCTCCAATTATGACTCCATCACCTCAGATTGTGGCTCCATCAGCTCGGGTTGTGGCTCCACCACCTCAGATTGTGGCTCCATCAGTTCAGATTGCAGCTCCATCAGCTCGGATAGCAGCTCCATTAGTTCAGATTGCAGCTCCATCAGTTCAGATTGTTGCTCCATCACCTCAGATTATGGCTCCATCACTTCAGATTGTGGCTCCACCACCACGGACTGTGGCTCCACCACCTCATATTATGGCTCCATCACCTCAGATTGTGGCTCCATCAGATCGGGTTGTGGCTCCACCACCTCAGATTGTGGCTCCATCAGTTCAGATTGCAGCTCCATCAGCTCGGATAGCAGCTCCATTAGTTCAGATTGCAGCTCCATCAGTTCAGATTATGGCTCCATCACTTCAGATTGTGGCTCCACCACCACGGACTGTGGCTCCACCACCTCATATTATGGCTCCATCACCTCAGATTGTTGCTCCATCACCTCAGATTATGGCTCCATCACCTCCAATTATGGCTCCATCACCTCAGATTGTGGCTCCATCAGATCGGATTGTGGCTCCACCACCTCAGATTTCGGCACCATCAGCTCGAATTGCAGCTCCATCAGTTCAGATTGTGGCTCCATCAGCTCGGGTTGTGGCTCCACCAGCTCAGATTGCGACTCCATCAGCTCGAATTGCAGCTCCATCAGCTCGAATTGCAGCTCCATCAGCTCGAATTGCAGCTCCATCAGCTCGAATTGCAGCTCCATCAGTTCAGATTGTGGCCCCATCACTTCAGATTGTGGCTCCACTACCTCGGACTGTGGCTCCATCAGCTCGGATTGTGGCTCCATCAGAAATACCTCAAATCAGAACATTAAGTGAACCATTGCTCCCTATTCCTGACATTCCCTCTGATGTTGTTAGCTTTAATCCTCACTTGATATTCCCTGAGCAGTCACCTGAAGTAGATGACTGGATGAATGGAAAAGGTGGAATTCCACTACCTCATTTAGAGATGTCTTTGCCTTACCTTCCGCCATCTGCCGCCAGCATCAAAACACTGACTTCTTTGCTCAAAGTTAAACAATCTCTGCTTGCGACTGCAGTGAATATCCTGCCAGTTGAGTATCAAAACTATAGAGAGGAAGAAGCTCAAGTAGCTGCCATCCGCAAAATGATTGCCGAAAGGTTTGCCTCAAATCCAGCGTACCAGCTTTTGAAGGCTCGTTTCTTGTCGTGCTTTACTTTACCAGCCCTTTTGGCCACTATAAACCCTTCTGTGAAATATGAGTTGCCCACCGATAACCATGGTGATGAAGATGAGGTCTTGTTATTACAAAAGATAAAAAAAAGGATTCGGCCACCAGCTGCAGTAAGTTGCGCATAACATTGAAGCAGTCTTTGTTTTGTTTAATAATTTTTTTTATAATTTATGCATTTTTCCTATCTTTCAGAGGATTGAGCTTAACACAAATGAAAATGAAGCATCAGCAAAACAGTTCTCAGGAATCAGTACAAAAAGGCAAAGGAGTCGACATTGAGTTACATAAGATTCATCATCTGAATGAGTACCAGTAACTTCAGATTTGGTACAGTTCACGATTCGTGTACAAATGTGTACCACTAAAAAAATCTATATTACAGTTAAAGGGACCAGTCAGATATTCATTGCACTAATTTTGTTTACTCCATCCATACGTTTTAAGAACATTCAGTATGTGTCCTGACAATTTTTTGGAAATAAAATTATAAATAAGTAAGGTTGCACTGAGCTACTATTAAATTATTATATACTTTCATTTGTTACTGCTTTTTGAATATTGTTCTGTAGAAATGTTAAATGTTTTGTCATTGTTTGTTTTTGTGCATTTGTATTTTGTTATGCTTTTATATTATGTGATCATAATGTGCAACCCACACCTGAATCTAGAAGTTTGTGAACTTTTTAAAAAATCATGAATTTATAATAAATTATTTTGTACATTCAATACCACTTAATAAAAGTACATAATTTCTTGGGTTTTTAAACAACTCATTTCACATGAGATGAGAACATCAGTACCTTAATAGAAGCTGTTGTATTTTACAAGAAGCTGAAAGCCTTGCAAGGGAATGCCACAAGTTGAGATCACAGAGACACATTGAATATATTAATAACGGTTGACTATATATTTTCTTCAGAAAATGATGTACTCATGTAGTCATTCTGCGACCAAATGCCACAGAAAGTGTGTTGCAGCTCAACAATTTATTGTGAAATAGAGGGAAATAAAAAAAACTGCAATGACGGCTGGAAAAAGGGAACTTATGTCACCACTCAGCTCAGTGAACTTCATTTCCTTTTTGAGTTTACAGACGAGCTGAATGTGTAATGCACATTTAGCCTTAAAACTTGCAATCAAACAACTATTTTCAAGCTAACAAAGAGCTAGTGTCAGTCATGTTTGATGGCCCAGGGGGTTTTGAGGTGGAGGAGGATGATGAGTGCTGGGCACGGCTGGAAGACTACAGAATGCTTCTCATCAAGACCATTGAGCCCTCAAGGATAACACCTTACCTGAGACAGTGTAAAGTGCTGAGCAGTGAGGATGAAGAACAGATCTACAACGACCCCAGTCTGGTTATCAGGCGTAGAAAAGTTGGTAAGTGTTTTTAGGCCACCTAAGGTTCAACTGTTTTCAAACAATAAATATGTAGCAAATATTGTTGAAAGAAATAGTTACTGTATTATCTGAAGCTAGTTACTGTATAATCTGAAGCTTTCTATCTTATTTTCAAAGTATCCACTTAGTGGTCTCTAGATATTTATATGGTTCAGGAATGTTTTTTTTATTTGCTTATAGGAGTGCTGCTGGACATATTACAAAGAACTGGCCTCAAAGGATATGAGGCATTTCTAGAGAGTTTGGAGCTAGACTACCCAGATGTGTACCGCAAAATCACCGGCAAAGAGCCTGCTAGGGTCTTCTCGGTACTTATTGGTAAGTTGTATATTTTTAATTAAGTATCAGTTGGTCAGTATACTTTTTTAATATGTTAAACAAAAAATACTTTAGCCACATCTTTTATGCAAATAAAATCTGAAAACTGCTATCATCATAGGCCAAAGGACTTTGTAAAATATTGCCACAGGATTTTTAACCATGTCTCTGGAGGGTACTAAAAGGGGTCCTTAGAGAGAATTTAAAATTTAATGTTTCCATGTTAATTAATGTTTGTTCATGCAATGTATGGATTCCCAGGCTTTTGACAACTTTATCATTTCTTTAATTATTAGCCTTTCATGAACACTACAGTTTTCTTTCGCAAACCCCAGTTTGCGAAAACCTTCTGTAATGTAATGTTTAATGCATTTCACGATATTGATAACAAAGAATGAAATAGATTATCTTTCTCTTTTTTTAATCAATATGGTATATAATAATCACATTCAAGTATATGTGATAAACGAGTTACGAGTAATCTAAAAGTAGGCTAGTCATCTACCCAGCACTGCATACTAGGGTTGTGACGGTGAGGACATTTTCCCACCGGTTAATCGACGTGTGACAACACCGGTAATACCGGTATCACCGCGGGGGCGGGACGTTCCCTCTTTGCCTCGCTTTCCTTCGCTTTTAAAGGGGTCATATGATGCTTTTTTAAAGATCATTATTTTGTGTATTTGGTGTAACAGAATATGTTGACATGCTTTAATGTTCAAAAAACACATTATTTTTTCTGGAAGCGCATTTGTAAGTACAGATCAGCTAATGAAAGAAGAGAAAACAGTTGCAAAACATGCAGTGTATCAAAAACGAAGTCAAAGATTTTGCCTGCATTTAATTTTTTTTCAGTTTCAAAGACATTTTATTCAGTTTCAATTTATATTTTCATAAGTTTCTTGAAAAATTACATTCATTTTAATTGGAACAAAGGTAATCCCATACATACTAGGCTACACACATTCATACAGAACCTGCTTTTTTATTATCTGCAAAGTACTGACTCAAAAGAAAGAATGCAATTTTGAATGAATCTGTTGAATGAATGATTCAAGGAAGCACTGTTAAAGACACTCACTTGTTGCAATGCCACCACCTGCTGTAACAATGTACACTGAAAAATCCCCACCATAAATGTCCAGACTGACAGTCTGTATGGAAAGAGTGATACAAACAGTGCAAATCCCAGTGCTGTTGGAAGGCCGCACTATTAATTAAATTTGAAACAAACTGTTTAATAAAATGTAGTAATACTAAGTTACTATTCTAGATTAAAGTTATTATATTGTGTTACAGATAAAAACGTGCTTTTTATACTTTAGGTGCAAGCACAGCTAGAAATGTTGACTGTCATGGTTTCTGTATGCAAACCTCTGGTTTACAGAACTCTCTCTCTGTCTGTTCACCCAGACACGGCCGGGGAATGTGGCCTCACTCAGTTCCTCATGAGCGAGGTCTCTCGCCTACAGAAGCTCGCACAGGACGAACGGAGGATGCGACTCGAAGTGTCTGCGCAGGCGGCGGAGCAGCTAGACACCATCCGCCAGCTGCAGCTGTGTGAGAGCGAGCTGCACAAACAGCAGGACCGCGTGCAGCGCATCCGAGAGGAGCGCGAGCGCATGTGCGAGGAGGCGCGTATACTGAGAGACGAGAATTACCGACTGATGCACGACCTGACCCGACTGAGCGAGGACAAGAACTGCGCACTCATGTGTAACAGAGACCTCCAGCTCGAGGTGATCAGTCAGTCCAGCAAGAAAACCTTTCAAAAACATGTCTGGGTTTTAGTTCACCACAAAAGAAATAAGAAATGAAATGCATTTGCGGTCATAACTGTAATTTTAACTGTACATTTCTGCACTCTGGTTCCCTCAGCAAGGTCCCAATAGGATTTTTCCATTGGCTTTTGAATTGTTGCAGAAACAACCAACAAAAGTTTATCATTCTTCCACGTTTTATAATCTTAAAGGGTTAGTTCACCCAAAAATGAAAATGGAACCATAAGCTCCAGCTTGTTACTGAGTTTTGGCCTACAAAATATGTCATCCCTGTAGCATGTCTATGTCTACAGAAGGGCAAAGTTGAAGAAAGTAGACTATTAGTTATATATGTATATGTGTGTGTATGTATAATGGTATAATGTATGTATATATATTTTTTATATAATTCTGTTTTTAAATTTAAGTATCGAGAGGAGAAGGATGAGTTAGAACTGAAGTGCATAATGCTAAAAAAGGACTCCAAAATGTACCGTGACCGAATGGAAGACATTCTGAAGCAGCTGGAAGAAGTCATCAAAGAAAGAGACAAGGTATCTTACTTTCCTCCTTGCATGACAAAGCATACAGCAACATAATGTGGTAAATTTTATGGTCATTTTACATTAGATCAGAAATGCACAAACACAAAGTTGCCCTGTGACAGCTTTTGATTTGGCCCACAATTCATATCACAAGAGGGGGGGGGGAAACATGGCATTAAAGCATATCTTCATTTTTAACTTATCTTTTTGTTTTTAACATTTTATTTTTGCACTGAAATGTAGAAAATATAAGTGTGATTAAGTAGTTTACATTTTAATATAATATAGTTGGATATAATTTGGCCCACAGCCCTCAAACTAGTTTGAGCATATCTTAATTTTTAACTTATCTTTTTGTTTTTAACATATTTTATTTTTGCACTGAAATGTAGAAAATATAAATGTGATTAAGTAGTTTAAATTTTAATATAATATAGTTGGATATAATTTGGCCCACAGCCCTCAAACTAGTTTGGTCACATCTGCATCAGATGAAGAAATTCCAGTCTTTATTGAGATTTATTCAATGTATCTGTTGTATGTATCACATTAACCACAACAGTTGTATGGCACTGCCCTTTTAATAGGCTATTTGTACAAGAGAGGAGTACCATTTGGAGAACTCAAAAAATCTCCAAGACAAAGACCAATACCGCAAACAGATCCGGGAGATGGGAGAGCGTTATGATGAACTTCAAGTCCAGTTGTTTCGAACTCAAGGAGAAGTTCTTGCTCTTCAGTCAAAGCTTCGCAAACAGAAAAACCCAATTCAAATGGTATGTACACTTGAAATGTATACTACACAGAGTGAGCGTGACATGTGTGAATGGAATAGATGAGTCATTATTTAGTTCAAGTGCTTCCTGTTGTGTCACTTTGATGTAAGCACATTATCTTTAGGCACAAAATGCATGATCACTGGGTAATGGTTTATAATGAATAGTGTTTGTTATGATGTGTTTTATTCCTCAGAACTCAGAAGAAAGCTCCTTGCTGAGTTCATTTGAGGTAATTTTATATAACTCTCTATTAAACATTTAAATGCAAACACTCTTCAGAAATAAGATATTTCTGTTGTCTTTCTCATCTTAAAGTGGCATTGTTCTCCACAGCATTTGGTTTGTATTATTTTTAGTCATCAACATTGCTTGCATTTTGTCCACAGATGAAAAGTCAGACTAGTGAGGAGGAGTCCAGGGAAAGGGGTGAAAAGGGTAACGTTCTCCGATTTTCTCCATCAGATCTCATGCAAAAAATATTTTTCTTGTTTTTTTAAACATTGTTCCTGTTTCCTCGCACAGATATGAGTGAAGGGTCACAGAGCCAGACATCTGGAGAGTACAATGTAGGTATCTTTGTTGTGGATGCTTATTCATACAGTGATAGTGGCTTAATTTTTTAATGCATATTTCATGTTTGCAGTATTCAGAGAGGATGTTCTCTGAGGAGGACATATCAGCTAACTGCAGAATTAAAGCAAAATGCAACTTTCACTATAGGAGGTTGGTTTTGTTATTTTTATTCTTTCATAACAACAATTTAACCATTGGAATTAACCATTGAAGCAGAGCTACTACTATATTTCAGATATTAATGAAATGGAATGATTTGTTTCTAAGCAATACTCCTAATGTGGTCTTGGACAGGAAACGTGCTTTAAGAACCAAAAAATTCACAGACAAAGAGAGTGTGCAGTGCATACTGGACAACACTACTGGGAGTGATACGGACGGGATGTGACATACAGCTTTGGACAAGGAGACGAAATGTGGCCTTCTTTGAAGGCATATTAAAATGCAATTTAATGATAATCCAACATTGTTCTGCATCCAGTGACCCATAAAACCTGATTAACATCATATCAATATCATAGTGTTCACTGTTAAAGTATGTCCAGTCAATCACTTGTCATGAGTCTGATCTGACATTTTTTCTGTTGTCTATTAATATATAATATAATAAATATAAAATATCTTTTTATGTATATCTTGTTCTCTTGAGCAAAAACAGTGGAAATGTTTGAATGATTTTTTTTTGTACCCAAGACATTAAAGGGGTCATATGATGCTGCTAAAAAGAACATTATTTTGTGTATTTGGTGTAATGAAATGTGTTTATGCGGTTTAAAGTGAAAAAAACCCTCTTTGCGTGAACATTTGGGCGGTGTTATGCAAATCTTCCCAGATCGTGACGTAGGTATGTGGGGGCGTGTTAGAACGAGCCGTTTTAGGTAGGTGTGGCTGACTCTGAACTTTTATAAAGAATATCTCTTTGGATTTGAGACTTGAGTCTTTGCAACTTTACAGATCTTCTTTATGCACCAAGAGCTTGTAACACCCCAAAGAGAAAGGAAAAATTTAAATCGCATCATATGACCCCTTTAAGGTATGTGCAGAAACTATGATGTTAATGATGTTTAAAAATGAATTTACCCTAAAAATATTCACTGAACGTTTCTCATATAAGGGCATGAATGATACTATATGAAACGATGTGAATGGGATATTCTAATTATTTTCTATTTTTTGTGAAATTATAGTGGTGTAAAATAAAAATAGAGTATTATATATATAACTGTTTTGTTATCAACGGCAAAATAAAAAAAATGTTTGACTAAATATGTGCGAATTTTCTTTTACTACGTTTCAATGGGAAATTTGATTGGACCGAACACACTTGACCTCACCGTTGGTTGGACTTTTTTACTCCGCCGGCGTCACCTGTGTGGCTGCCATAGCAACAAGAAAACGCTGAGTGAAGGCCTGAGTGAACGCTTCCATGAGTTAAGAACACCGTAATTTGTATTTGCATAATACGCAGATAATTGTGTTGAAAACTCTTATAATGGACCAGCCGTACTATAACTTCGCACTGATTTCGATATAGTTTTATTTTGACTGAAAAATAAGCATATTATTCCGTAGCTACAATGGCAGACACCCGTGTGCTTCCCAGTGGTAAAGTTTACCGGCAGATGTTTGACGCTCAGGTAATATTATTCATAGTATCTGAACGATAAATGTGCGTTTTTACATATTGTTGATGTTTGTAATATTGCGGATAATTTTGGATGCAAAATCCTGGCCTGAAGGCAGCTGTGGGCGTATGTTGATGTTGATGTGTTCGTGGTCAGGTTCAGCTGTCTCTGGCACTCTTTGACTCGCGGAGGAAGCGCGTCGAGGATGAGGGCGACTGTCTGCTCAGTGGAGACGCGGCGGACTCCGCATCACAGCAGCTCAATGGGACGTTCAACATCACCACACGGTAAGATGCTGCTGCTGCTCAAGATACGAATTTAATTTGAATTTAAAGACATTAATACTAATTAAAAGTGCCCTGTTTGATAGGAACACACTTTACTCTGGTGGGAAAAGAAATGAGGACCAGGATGATAGTGAGGAGGTTTGGGGTCTTCCAGACACTGTTGGTGAGAACTTAGTGATAACTGTTTGCAACATAGAGTCTTTTCCTTTTTTTTTTTTTCTTTTCTTTTCTTTTCTTTTCTTCATGGCATTTTTGTTACAGTGTAATCACACCAATAAGTACTGAGTAATAATAATGAACAGCATGTACTTACTATATAGGTTATAGGATTCGGGTTAGTTGCTTGTAATTATGCATAACTTACTCTTAGTAATAGTGCATGAAACATGTCGTGTAACAAGGACACCATAAAATAAAGTGTTACCTGTACATCCAAACATAGGAATAGGAGACAATAAATGTTTGTAATACGTGTTCTCTTTTTGTAATGCAAGATATCTTAAAATGTTTTTGAATGAAGTCTCTTATGTGCACCAAGGCTGCATTTATTTGTTCAAAAAACAGTAATATTGTAAAATACTATTAACAAAGCTGAATTTTCAGCAGCCATTACTCCAGTCTTCAGCATCACATAAATCGTTCTAATATGAATCGTTCTAATTTCCTAGGCCAACAACAGACTAACACATCTTAATATCAATTAGAAAACAGTTGTTGCTGCTTAATATTTTTGTTGAAACCATAATAGTTTTTTTTTCAGGATTGTTAGATGAATAGAAAGTTCAAAAGAACAGCATTTATTTAAAATTATTTGTAACATTATGAATGTCTTTACTGTCAGTGTGTCCTTGCTACATAAAAGTGTTTATTTAAAAAAAAAAAGAATTTTAAATAATAAATCTTACTGACCCCAAAGTTTTGAATGGTAGTGTAAGCAAAATAAACATTTGTTCAACCAGCATTTGTTAATTTTCAGTCAAAGAAACTATATAAGACATAGAAACTCATAATAAGGCATGTTTGCCAAATTTATTTTCAATAATAATAAATATATTGTATAATATAAAATTGACAATGAAAAAAATCTATCTATTGTGATTCTGTTTTGTCTGGAGTTCCAGAGAAAAAAAACTCAGACATCATTGATCGTCTTGCGGAGAAAAGGCGAAGGGATCACAACAAAGCTGTTTGTCAGTTGCAGACAGAACTCTCCAGCATCAGTGTGGTACACACATCTATATATGTAGTGCCAAAATGTGTTTATTCTTATGTAGAGTCCAGTTAATCTATTGTCCATCTACAGTTTAATCACTATGGCATGCTAATTATATCTCTCAAAGGTGCCTTATATCGTGATATTTCTGTATCTAGGGTTTTGAACCATTATTCAGACAGACAGGAAAGGATATCCTTCTCAGATTGTCAGAGCATAACGACAATATTGAAAACCTTATGCAAAAGATTGAAAACATCTCTGATTTGACAGCACACAGCTATCAGGTGAGGACCAAATGTCGTATACAATACTTGCAATTTGTCAAATTCAGTATTTGTAAGTAAATGAGTTTTGGATCACTCAAGTGTTATTCATCCTTTGTTTTATAAAGGACATGCATGACATCTGGAACAAAGTCTGCTATGAATCTTCTTTGAAAAGAAAGTGGATTAAAGAGCTAGATGAGATATATGCCAAATATGAATCTGAGAGAAAAGCTATGGTATGTGGTCTATATTATGTAAAGCATATGTTCCCAGAGTCAGTAGAGTAGTACACTGCCTATTTGCCCCTCTTTCCTAGATTTCAGCATTATTGAGAAAGTCCACCACAAAACTGGAGAAAATCAGTTATTTGATGCCATGTGATGTCCACAGACTGATTGACAGTGAAGCAATGGTAGTTTATTCCACATGACAAATACGTATTTGTATGTTTTCAGTGGGTTTTTTTTCTTTCGTCAAGAATCCATGTTTTCCACAGATGATAAACCAAGCTCTGCTAGCAAATCGACGTGCTTTGGCCAAACTGTGCTTGAATTTGATGGAGAAACATTTGCAGATGGACATTTTCCAAAGGCTGAGATGGGAGGAAAAGCTCCAAGATTGGAAACAAATAAAACTTAATGACGGCGTTACCCGGTTCACGTAGGTCTGATGTTAAAAAATTGTGAAAATTCCCTTGATAGAAAAATAATGCCATATTGTTTACCAACAAAGTGCATGATCTGTCTGATGAAAATAGTTGGCAATGGGAGTTTTGCTGGTTACGATAGTTAAGAGTCCTACCAGGGCCATCTGAATATCGTACAGGGGAATGATATTATCTACAATACAACATATACCCATATTTATGTTCTTCCTGCAGAGACGTTATGAACAGCCCTCACATTCAGAGCCCTAAAAACATTCAAGATACTCTGAGCACGTTGAAGTCAGATCAGAAAACACAGAAAGATAAACGCATCCAAACGCTGGAGATGATTAGGTGAGATATGAAACACTGATTTCTAGTCTTGCATGCCATTTCCTCAGTGAATGTTAGTTAACGTAACATTTACTTACATTTTCTGCCCCATATCAAGAGACATGAAGCCTCCAAGAATCTCAAAGTCATCAGTTGCAGAGTGGTATTCAGCACTGTCTGTCATCAATGAGCAAATAGGTCAGAAAATGTGGTTTTCATTACAGTAATCCAGCATTATAAAATGGTAATATGTGACCCTGGACCACAAAACCAGTCTTAAGTCGCTGGGGTATATTTGTAGCAATAGCCAAAAATACATTGTATGGGTCAAAATTATAGATTTTTTTTAAATGCCAAAAATCATTAGGATATTAAGTAAAGATCATGTTCCATGAAGATATTTTGTACATTTCCTACTGTAAATATATTAAAACTTAATTTTTGATTAGTAATATGCATTGCTAAGAACTTAATTTGGACAACTTTAAAGGCCATTTTCTCAATATTTTTATTTTTTTGCTCCCTCAGATTCCAGATTTTCAAATAGTGTATCTCTGCCAAATATTGTCCTATCCTAACAAGCCACACATCAATGGAAAGCTTATTTATTCAGCTTTCAGATGATGTATAAATCTCAATTTCAAAAAATTGACCCTTATGACTGGTTTTGTGGTCCAGGGTCACATATGTGCTCTTCGTCACTTTGCGCACTTTAATAAATTCCTCACTATGTTTCATTTCTTCAGATTGTATTCACGTTGCCACAATGGAAAAACTTCATAAAAACTTTGAGAACAACTGGCAAGTATGTTTGGCAGAGGTTGATCTCTTTAAGGTGAGAAATAACTTGTGCTTTCTCATTGGTCTTGATTCTCAAAGCACTACAGAAATGCAACAATATTCTCAACTCTTTACACACAGACAGAGGTGTCCACATACGGATTCACCTCAGACGAAATACAGAATATTGTTAACGTGGAGATACTACCTCTCATTGGCCAGCGCCAATCACAAACTGAGGTCTATTTAGAAAAACTTGATGTAAGTTTTGTTTCCTCAATGCTTTAAATGAAATCTCTCCACTTCTGGACTATCATGTTATATTGTGTACTTTTAACATTTTTACAGAAAGCTTTTGAGTGTTTAGCCAAAACTGCAGCTTATGACAGTAAGTGCCTGTTCAAGTTTATGTGTGGGGCAGCTCAGCTGTGGGAAAACCACTGTGCAGGCATGTTGAACAGAGAACAGCAGCTACAAAGTTCACTGGAGTCCCTCAGTCAAATCCACGAACTAGAGAGCCAGGCAAGATTTTG